GAGCAGGGAGCCCGATGCGGGACTCGATCCCGGGACTCCAGGATCATGACCTGAGCTGAAGGCAGTCGCTTAACCGACTGAGCCACCCAGGCGCCCCTATACATGGTTTTAGATCTCAAGTGTCATAAGGATTGTTAAACTAAGAGCTACTCGTTTTTATTTATTTATTTTTAAGATTTATTTGACAAAGAGAGAAAGAGCATGAGAGAAAAAGCACGAGCAGGGGGGAGGGGCAGAGGGAGAGGGAGATACAGACTCCCTGATGAAGAGAGAGCCCGATGCGGGGCTCAATCCCAGGTCCCTGGATCATGACCTGAGCCGAAGGCAGACACTTAACTGACTGAGTCACCCAGGTGCCCCAAGAGCTACTCTTTTATGTAATCTTTATCTGTGTGAACTCAACTTTATTGCTTCTTTACTTCTTAGAAAGTCATGCATGTTCATTATAGAAACTCTGGAAACTATAAGTAAAGTATAAAGAGGAAGGAAAATTAATTACCCAGAATCTTGTCAACCAGAGACAACCACTATTAATATTTTGTCATTTTCCTTCTACTCTTTTTGGTTTGTTTTTACATAGTAGATATTAGTCCATATGTGTTATTTTGTATCCTTGATATTTTTCCTCCTTAATATTACACCAAAAGTTATTTCTCCCATTGTGAAAACTCTCGGTAAACACAACTTATAAGAGCTGAATAACATTCTACATCTCCTGAGATGATTATCCTTTTGACCTGTTACTGTGGCAAATTATCTTGACTGTTTTTTTTTTTTTTTTTAAAGTAGGCGCCATGCCCAGTGCGTGGCTTGAACTCACAACTATGAGATCAAGACCTGAGTCGTGATCAAGAGTCGGGATGCTCAACCGACTGAGCTATCCAGGCACCCCTTGACTGGGTTTTCCTAATGTCACACTAACCTTGTACTCTTCTGAATAAACCCAACTTGGGACTGCTATATTATTCCCTTAATATAATACTGGATTCAGTTTAATATTTTGTTTAGGATATTTGTATCTATTTAAATTTTCTGTGTTGCATAGTCTTTATTAGGGTTTGGTAACAAGACTAAGATAGTCTCTTAAAATGAATTGGAGAATGTCACTTCTTTTTCTATTCTTTGGAACAGCTGATGTAAGACTGGAGTTATTTCTTCCTTAGGTGTTTGGTACAACTAGCCAGTGAAATCATCTGGGCCTGATTTTTCTTTGTGGGAAGGTTTTTAATTGTGAACTCAATTTTCAAAATAGTTATGGGTATACTCAAGTTTTCTATTTCTTCTTGTGTCAATTTTGGTAAGTTGACTTTTTTTTTTTTTAAGGAATTTGTCCTTTTCATCTACATTTTCATGATTTTTGGTATGGAGGTTTTCAAAATAATTTCATATTACCTGTTTAATAACTGCAGATCCTTGATAATAAAAGTATAATTCCTTTTTATTTTACTACCATTTGTTTCTGTTATTTCTCTTCCTTGTCTTTGATCTATTTCATCAGTGGTTTAGTAATTTATTAATGTTTTCCAAGAACTAATTTTTGTTTTTCATGTCCCTAAATCTACTTCCTTAATTTATGCTCTTTCTATTGCTTCCTTCCTTTTATTCTCTTGATGTTTCTTTATTTGGTTTCTTTTCTAATTTTTTGAGCTGAATGCTTAGCTTGTTACTTTTTGGGACTTTCTTCATTTGTAATATATGAATTTGAATGCTATGAAATTTCCTTTAAATACAGCAGCCCTCAAACCTCAGATGATGTCAGGGTAAAATTGTTCCTAGGTATTGATCTTAGTTCTTTTGGTTCAATCTTCTCCCACATATAGGCCATTAATTATTTTCTATCTTGTGCTTTCTGATGACTTTAGGGTGATGATTTGTGTATTTTAATCAGCTTTTTAAGTTACCTTCAGTGGGAGAATTTGTTCAAATTACTTGGTCTGCCTTTACCAAAAGGTGATGTGCTCTGCACAATTTTCCAATATAGGGATATACCTTAAGTTATCTAACTAGTCCTCTAGTGTTAGATAATATAAATATCTTACAACTATCATTATACATATATATTTATCGCATTTCAGATTTTTTTTCTCCTTAAGACAGATATTCAAAAGCAGAAATGCTGGGGAAAACATTTTTAGGTCCCTTGATACTTTTGCAGTTACATTAACTTGCACTAGTCACTGGTGTTTGAATAAGCCTATTTCTCCCCCACAATAAGGACTCTTTTTTAAATACCCAGCTTATCTGACAGGTGAAAAGTATTCCACTGTTGCTTTAAAATGTTTTTATCTTATATTGTTGATAGGGATAAACATTTTTTGTTTACTACTTATTTGAATTTTTATACCACTTGGGAATCCAATTGATTTTTATTTCCTTGTATATTTATATAAGATACTTATAACTGGCTGCCGACTGTGGGGATACCAACCTTCTGCCTTTGAGAATCTGTTGCTAAATGCAAAGATCATGTTTCACCATCCTGATGAAATTTGTGCATGCCTCTCCAGCAGAGGCTGTCAGGGCCCTTGGTCAGTGAATAGCAAGCTGGTCTTGCTTAGAGGGTCAGTGACTAAAAATTGCCATTCATTCACTCATTCAATCTATACTTACTAAGCTCCTTCAGTACTGGCTTGTAGTGGATGATGAGTGAATATTTGCTGAAATAATGAGGGACAACCTTTATGGGTCAAGGATACTCTCACAGACCTGACAACCTAGTGGGGGAGATAAGACATGAAATGATCACTGAGAAAAATATATAATTATAAGCAGAAATATATCTAATGAAGAAAAAGTAGTATGTTCTATGACAGAATAGAATAGGGTACCCAAGTGAGGAACGGATCAGGTTTAGGTGAGGGAGGTGGGGGTATCACAGGTGGCCTCTTTGAAGATGTGACATTTGAATGAGACAAAAGATGAGAAACAGCTAACTGGAGTGGGGGAAAGCGTGTTCCTTGCAGAAGAAATAGCCTGTGTAAATGACCCAAAGCAGGAATGACAGCAAGAGTTGGCTGCCATAATCTCAGTTTTCACGTCCTTGTCCCTTGAATCAGTGGGACTATAGAGGAGGGAGTGGTAAAGATTCACAACACGGAAACTGAAGAAGAAATGAACTGAAGTTTCAAAAAGGCTTACAGCATAGCTCTAGGAACCACTACACTGCCTCCTACTAAGGAGTATGCAAACAGAATTTTCTAAAACTAGAAGTCTGAGCAGTGATACTGACAGGGCCAGTTGTTTTATATACAAAATAGTCTTTGCCTCAGAAAAGGCCTCATATTTATTTCTAAGCTGTTTCCAGGGCTGCTCCTAACTTAGGAAGATACAGCTTAACAGAAAAATATTAATCACACAGTGCTAAACAGGATGCAGACTTTTTACCAAAATGCGTAAAATCAATCATTTCACTTTGGCACACACTTTTGGCACAAAGGCTGAGATCTGCCTTGGAAAACAAAGTCATTTCAAATCTGCCTAGAGAAGCCAGACCAGTGAGTGTTCCCAAACACAGGACTCCTAAGCATGTTTGCAACGGACAAAGCGGGCATGGAGCGAGGAGGCCAACGTACTGTTCTCTCGGACCAAGCAGAACTCCCATGCGCTCTGGCTCTCCAAAGTGCTCTCCAGGTCCACGGCGACATTGGGCTCGCTCTGCTTCTCCAGGCGGTACTGAGGGCCTGGAAGATCAAAGGGGCAGGAGGAGGGGAGGAAGTCTGAAACAATGAATTTAACATTGAAAAAACACCACATACTGGCGAAAAGCTGATAAAGCATTAGGCAAACTGCTGAAGTCTGTCTGAGGGGGTCTAGCTATCCAAGATGGAAGAGTTTGGGGTTTTTTCCACAAGGTTTTACAGCTCCGTTTGTTCTATTATCAGCTCCGTTTTTGCTCAGCTCCCCCAAACAAGGTGAGAGGTAGATGGCTTTTGAGCTGGCCTGACTTGGATCACAACATGGCTACACGGTTTCTCAGATATGAGCAAATAACCTACCCTCTCCAAGCCTCTGTTTCCTAATATGTAATGGGGGGATACTTATACTTTAAGGATTATTGTGAAGATTACAGATGATACAGGAAAAATACTTAGTAAGGCACCTGCCTCATAGGAAGCACTCCTATAGAAATACTTATTAATAATCATTATATAATAATGAATAATCAATTACAAGCAGGAATAAAGTATGTTTAGAACTCTAATATGACGACAGCCCAAAATTTTTTAAAAATTTAAAACACAGGTGAGGTAAAAAAAAAAATCTCTGATTTCTGGGTTATGGTAATAGACAGTAGCTGCTGATTCATGTTTTTGTTGAAACATTCATGAAAACACAAAGACACGGGTTCAATAATACTGAAAACCAGGAATACTAGCTAGCCTGTGTCACACAGGGGGTTCTGGCAGATCTTAATAAAACACTGGGGCATTTTATACATTTATTCATGTATTTCTTTGTCAAGCCAAATGACAATCTTGTTCTCAGATAACACCTAACAGGTCCAATGATCAGATTCAAAAGACTGCTCCTGTTGTTAATGGTTATTGAAAAGATTAGAGGTGTAAGAAACTGTCTTATTATTTTGACTATGAAAGGCGTGTTTGGTCAGACAGAGGGGAGGTGTAAGAGATCTGAGGAAAGCATAAGAGGCCTTCGGGGCTCCCAGGCGGAACACATATTTTTAGATATGTTCTTCAGCTGTTGTCAACTTGTTGTTATTCACATCCAGTACTACTTCACTAGTTGGAAGCATTTCACTCACCTCCTCCATGTCATTCTCCTCCTGTATGTACTACGTTCATCGAGAGCACTGTCGTGTCATGTCAGTTTCATGGGATAGTCTATCTTTTCTCTAACTGGTATGTCATTAGCAAGTCTCAGAGTTCTTACACACATTGAGTCTTTTGTACACTACTTGTAGCTCTTAAACTTTTACTAAGTCAACAATGTTCAAAACACTTATCTGTTTACACAAATACATACTCAGAAACCTACACAATTCACATAAACTCTAATACACTATGTTCAGGTCATGAGGGTACTGTATTTCAACATTATATACAGTTAAATTTTCATTTCAAAAATATTTAGCAAATAAAGGTCTCCGATGTCTGTCACCTATCACTGACATTTTCAATTACCAGGCATGTTTGCTGCTGATTGCTGATCCCTCCACACTCACTGGGGGAAAGTAATCACAGAAAAATCGTGCCCAGCTGAACTTTCAGAAAACTTAACTGGTGAGTAGATTCCTATGTACCCTCTCCTTTCCTTCCTTTCCCCTCCCAGCACCCACCTTTCATAGCTATGGGCCTCTTCAAGCCCATGAGGGGAAGGGAGTCACCGCTGAACCTAGAGAGCTGCTAAGACACTGGCCTGTTAAACTATCTTGGACTGCCCACCCCCAGTACCTCCCAGCAACACAGTGTGCCAGACACTGACATCCACTTCTATGAATTTACAGGGAAATTGGCTACAAAGTTTAGCTATAATAGTGCACTTTTTTATGATGGCCAAAATTTGGGAACACCCTAAATATAACAACAGGGGACTGGTTAAACAAAATATTATGAAAAACCATAAAGATATCAAAAGTGATGCTGCAAAAATACATGTTTACAGTATGCTACTTTATGAAAAACCAGCAAATTATAACATGTTTATAAAACATGTTTACAGTATGCTACTTTATGAAAAACCAGCAAATCATAACACAATACATGTAGGAAGATTGTAATTGTGACAAAATATGTGTAAAGTCCAGGGGAAAAAAAGACCGCAAGGTTACTTCCAATATGTGAATAGTGCTTATACTGGATGGTGGGATAATGAGCATTTTTATTTTTCCTTAGTGTTTTTCTGTACTTTTCACATTTCCTATAATAAATAAAGGCTACTTTTATAATTTAAAATACATCATATATACTTACAAGTCCCTGATTTCTATTACTATGCCATTTTTCTGAGGATACCATAATTATCTCACATTGTAGCTTCTGTAATGGGTCTTTCACATGTGATCATTTAATCAAAACAAGACATTTACCTGTTTATGTAGATCGCTATTTGCATCTTAAGGAACCCTACAACCTAGGCTTGCTTAGTCTGACTCTGAGCACAGTGTACAGGGGGCTGGGCTTCTCAAGCTGTCTGCCTACCTGACAGCTGGACTCTAAATAAGCCACCACTTTCCTGATCTCTGGGAGCCAAGGCCTGGCTGCATCGGGGTGTATATCAGGCTGGTCTCCTTTGCACTCTTTCCTTCCAGTCTCTGTGGCTGCCTAGGAAACACGATGAGGGTAACCAGGGGAGGCAGGGAGTATGAGGAAGGGTTCCTTGTCCTTAAACATGATGAGCCCCTGCACCACTCTCAAAGCCCTAACTGCCATCATTCAACATTCACTCTCTTGTTTCTTGGGTCTTGCAGATATTTCTATTAAAATAGTTTGTTTCATGAAAGTAGCTTTAGGATTTTCTCCTTGAAGCCTAATATGATGATGACTCTCACTTACTGAATGGCCATTATATGCCAAGCATTCTACATGTTACCCTAGTGTATGCTCACAACAACTCTAAGAGGCAGATATTATCATTCCCATTTCACAGATTGGGACCCTAAAGGTTGGCAGGGTGAAGTAACTTGGCCAAGATCACAAAGGTAGGAAGTAGGACAGGGGAAATAAAACCCAAGGGTCTTAGGCTCTAAAGCCTCTGTGTTTTAAACCTTTCTTCCTCTAGCAAATATAAATTACTGGCCAATTATAAAGAGGCCATAGTTTATACCATAAGTATAGATTTTTGTAGATTTGTAGTTTCATTTGGGTTCTGAATCACTTAACTTGTGGTTTCTATAAATTCAAAATGAAAATGATCTGAAAAAATTCATTTTAATGAAATCCATACATACTAAATATCCTGTCCAATGGCTATATCCTGGGTCCTTATGAAGACAGATCACCTTATTTTTCCATCCATCCAGGAAGGCCCTCTCCCTCTTATCTTTCCTTAACAATATTCTTATGTGTGCCCAGTTTTGTCATTAATTGAAATTTTCAGTGTCATTTTCTGTCCTGGGTACTCCCCCTGTTCTTCCATAAAAGCTAAAGACCAACGTGGAAACCCATTTCTGAGCTTAGCAAAGGACTGATGGGTCTTAACTTTGGGGAAGACAGGGTGGCTAAGCTGGACTTGAGATCAAAACCCAAATGGAAAACTGCCTCTTACAAATATCAACTTCACTCCTAATTCTTGCCCAGTGGATAAAATAGATCACACAGAAAGACTGTTGCACACATTTTTCCCTGAAAAAGTCAGATGGATAACTTCAGGCCACATAATGTAATGAGAGGCAGGGTATGTATGAGAAGCAATATAACCTGGTGGTTAAGGGCATGGACTTGGGGCCAGATTGCCTCGCTCTAGTCCTGGATGATCAACTTAGCTGTATGATTTTGGGGCAACTCAATCTCTTTCAGTTTCTTCATCTGTAAAATGGGGATAATAATACCTCATAGGCCTATCTGAGGATTTGATGAGTTAATAGCTGCAAAGCAGTTAGAACAGTATCTGATACATTAATAGTGTTACGTAAGTGTCAGCTATCCACCACAGCCTCGTCACGGGACTATAACAATACTGAGAGATCCTAACATGGTAGGGCCTACTACTGTGTGCCAGGTACTGTGCTAGGCCTTTTATTCAGATCATCTGATTTGTCACCCTAGCATGTAAAGAATATGAATTCCATTTCATGCAGGAAGAAACTGGGACTTACAAAGGCTAAATAACGGGTTCAAGGTTCCGTAGGAAATGGTGGAATGAGGATTCATAGCCAGGCTGCCCCAGCCTGCACTCTGTAATATGTACAAATCATACCACCTCCCTCATAGCAAGTTCTTAATATAACGTCTGGTGATGATAATCAAGATTATGACAACCCAGACCTACTAGATCTATCAACCTATAGTTTCTATCAAATGCTTAATTTTCAGGCAGCTAACATGGGAGAAAAGAAAACATAGCAGCCAAAATCACTTTAAAAAGACAAGCTGTGAGGTCAGTTTCTATTAATATATTTTTGCCAAGGAAATGATTATATAAAAGATAAAAGTCTCCTTCACACTGAACAGAACATAGTTCTCAAGGCAACATCCACCTTTAGAAAAAGGTTTTAAAATGTCACAGCTGCGCATGAAGCCACACGCCCTCTACTTCGCAGTAGATGTGGACACAAAAGGAAGATTCTGGGAAGCAGTTACTGGGCAGCGACAGGAAAACCTATCTGGGCATTCCAATGATGTATTTATTGCAGTAATGCCATGTCACCGGATGGTCTAGGAACAAAATGGTGCTCTGGGCACTTTGGGAGTGATCCAAGTTATAATACCCAGGCAGGATTTTTATAGGATTTTGTAAACCCGAGGCAAACATCGCAGCACATAAGTTTCAAAGAAAATCTGAAGTATCTGCTGGATAGTGGATACATACATGGTCAGTCCAGCTTCCTCTATCCCTTCAATCCTTGACTGAAACATCAAAGGTTTTAGCACACAGTTCCTTAACAGCTTAGAGCCAGCTGAGAGTTGAAATCCAGTGGGAAGCAAATGTAGAAGCCCAAAGAGAGAGACCATTGCCTCAATCACTCTGCATCTTCTTTCTGAAGTTTCGGAGAAACTTCCTT